GGATGTCTTTTAAGTCTTTTGTTAGGAGCACTTCTGAGTTCAAGTTAGATTTGTAATATTGTTAAGTTGCCTCAAGCTACATATTCTTTGCTGAAATGCTTACTATCTCACATATCATATTCAAGGACGATTGGTTTTTAATTCCCTAGAGTAAAGTAAAATTAAAGGTAATTTAAATTTGAGTTATAAATGTAGTGGTCTGTAGGAATTAGATAGGCTTTAACTGAGTTCTAATGGGAAACTTGCTCATTTTTAGTTTGTGTGTGTGTGTGTGTGTGTGTGTTTTAAGGTAAAATAATGTGCTTACTTCTTTTTAGTCGAGTTGATGTGTATAAAGGTAACCATTGTTTGTACATTGATTCATTCATTCATTCAACAGATGTACACCTGCAATATGGCAGACACTTCAATTTGATTAATTTGCTTCAGTTTAATAAGTCGTGGTTTTGGCTTCGTCAGTGGCAAATGTATTACTCTGACCAGGACAACTTTGTAGGCTCTGTAGTGTTCTTTGGGTGGACTGATAACTTTTGTTTGTTTTGGGGGTGGGGGCGGTAATTAGGTTTACTTATTTATTATTGTTTTTTTATTTAACTAGAGATACTGGGGATCGAACCCATGACTTCGTGCCTGCTAAGCATGCGCTCTACCACTGAGCTGTGCCCTTCCCCCTGGGCTGATAATTTTAATGGAAGTAATTTGCTACTCCAGCATTACATAAATGCTACATAAGAGTAATTATTAGCTGTACCAAGAAGCCAGTATCAGCTTTTTTTACAAATATGTTTCCCGTATAACTTTGTGATTGAAGATGATGCGTGGGTGTTTGTAACACCTCATCTAGACACACTGTTTCTTTTAACAGTCTGTCAAATTTATTGGGTATACATTAAAAATTATACAGCAATAAAAGAGAGAAATATTATTAACATATGTACATGTATGTAAGTACATATATAGTTATATAAACATATATGTATATATAACAATGTGTGTATAAATATGTATACACACATGTGTATAAAACGATGTAATCAAATCCTGAGTTCATACAGAAAACACATATAACTTTAAATCTTGCCGTTGCCTAAATCTATAGGAAATTGGTGGCTAGGAATTGGCTGTGACCAAAATTAATCACTTCTGAGTTGTTAACATCGTTTTTTTTTAAGACTTTATTCTTTTAGAGAAGTTTCAGGTTCACAGCAGAATTGAGCAGAAAATACAGAGTTCACACACAGCCCTCCCCACCCACACATATATACTCCCTTACCCTCAACATTCCCCATCAGTGCGGCATATCTGGTACAATCGATGAACCAGCATGGGCACATTATTATCAACCGAGGTCCATAGTTTACATTAGGGCTCATTCTTGATGTTGTACATTCGGTGGGTTTTGACAAATGCATAATGACATGTAGCCACCACTATCGTATCCTACAGAATAATTTCATTCCCCTAAAAATCCCTTGTGCTCCATCTATTCATTCCTCCCTCCCTCCCTGTTAACATCTTTTTATAGTCAAATGGGTCATACGTATGTGGGGTAGGAGCATGGAGGGAGGGGAAGAATTAAAAGGACACCAAAAACAAAGCACCTAGTGTGCAGTTTTGCCAAGAATCCTGGTGATAGACAGCATGTCATTAATACAGCGTCTTGGGGTTGGGGGCTGCCTTGGGGTCACCACTTCGGTTTTGAACAAGTTATCATGGAAACACAGGCCACTTAGATGTGAACGAGAGTAACTTGAGTCCATATAACAGGGCATCTAACTAATGTAAGTGCTTGGAGAGACAGAACCAGCCAGATTCAGACGGCCTTGATTAGGAAAGCAAATTTTTAAATTATTGTTAACATTGCTAGTAACAATAACTGACATTTCTTGGCTCATTCCCACACGCCAGGCGCTCTACCTGCTTTGTATGCCTTGTTCCATTTAAACCTCACGTGGGTGAATGTATTATCATCCTCATATAGGTCAAGAAAGGCAGACTCAGTGATAAAATAAAATGTGCTCATGCTAACGAGTTAGTGAGTGGAAAAGGAGGATTCAAACCCAGATGTCTTAACCAAAAGAACTCATACTCTTAACCATAATAATAGTGTTTTTCAAACTATGTTTTATAGGCAACTGGCATCAAAATTATATGTAATTGTATATATTATATATATAATTTATACCCAATGTGTATAAATTATATTGGATAACTATATAAAAAGGTTTCTGGGTCCCATACTAGGTCTGCTGAATCAGATTTCCTGGGTATGGGATCTAGGGCTCTGCATTTTTAACAAGCTTCCCGGTGTGATTCTTTTGAACACTGATGTGTGAGAACCACTATGCTACCCTGCATTGCTACACGGTTTGAGTACGCAGATAATAAGGACTGATGGGTAGGAGGATGCCGAACATTCATGACTTTAGGAACGGTACATGTGACATCGTGGAAGTGTGAGTAAATTCCATATGGACTGGCAATATTTGCAATGTTGGGAAAATCTGGTTGTGATATAGAGGACTTTGAAGTCTAAATTAAAGATTAGGACAGTACTTCAGAAAAGAAGGAAGTTCCCAGTAGATTGAGCAGAGGTGGGTACCAGCTCTTCCTGCTCCATCCACACTTGGCTCACATCTGCATCATAATACCCAAACGTTATATTTCACCTCTTGCCTTCCTTAAACTCTCCTTGAGACCAGAAATTCTTTTATTCACGGTTGTGTTTCCATCTCTTAGCCTAGTCCCTGTTACATACAAATCCTTAATAAATGTCAGATTATCTCACTTTTTTTTTCTTTTGGAACTTTTGGAAGCCCCAAAGTGGGCCAGAGTCATCTCTGGGCCAGCTTTTAGAAATTTCAGAGCCTTGAGCATCACCTCCCTGTCCAGACCCGCAGATCCAAGGAGGAGCTTTAAGCTGTGACATGGCTTCCTTGAACCAACCATTGAAGTTTAATCCAGCCTTGAATCCTGAGTCTTTCCAGATGTTCTGGGAAGACACAGCAGTCTCTCTTCCCTCCTGCTCAGTGGTACTGACACAACAGCTCGGTAACTTGACTCTTAGCCCTGGGACCACCTGCCCTTCCCCTCCACCAGAAGGGTCACGCCAAGAGCAGGACAGGCAGGAGACCATCCAGCAGTAGAGATAACGGGACCATTGTTTCTTCAGTTCTGAAACGGCAATTTAGTTGGAGATCCTCCAATCACAGTATACATTATAAAACCAAATTCAGACTTGGATTTCAGTGTTGTCATCTCTGGAGTCATTCTGGGAACCATAGGTTGAGAAAAGCAGCCTCTCATTCTTCGTCCTTAGCTCAGAAATGCTCAGTAACCTGATTCTCGGCCCTCGTACCATCCTTCCTCTGTACTAGAAGAATTGTGCCAACAGCAGGAGAGAGAAGAGACAGTCCAAACAGAAGGGCAATGGGAAGGGGAATTGGGCGTTTTCAGAGAGAGGCTTTCTAACACTGGTTTGATGAAGACTTGTCTTCCTCACAGGACGGAGATCAGATTAGATACAGACAAGAACGTACACGCTGCCTTGCACAGAAGCTTTCTAAAGACTTAAAATAACGAATCACAGTCAGTTGTAGCAACATGATGCCAATTTTTACCAAAGAATCATATCAGGAAGTAGATTCAATCCAGTTTCAGTGGCAGCACCTAAATGTCCCAGCCAGTAATTTTAAGGTCACTGTGGGGTAAGCTTAGGGATTTCTGTGATGTGAGTTGTCCTTTTCTCTTCTTGATTCTTCCCTCCTCCCCTTCCTTGTTACCTGCAATTTATAGGTTATCTGTCTATATAGACTGAATGGCTTTCTGATTTCACTTTGCTTTATTCTGTTTTATTGACTGGCACCTGCGCTTGTCCTTTAGAATTCTGTAGACAGTTATCAGATGGGATCCAATGTTAAGAATTTGAAACAAAAAACTGTGAGGAAAGCAAAAACAGACATTTTTTTAGGTGAATGATTGTGATTAAGTATGTTAGCAAATATTTTTTGCTCCATAACAATGATCTTATTCTTCTTTCTTAAAGGAATTTCTGCTGTGTTATGTCAATATTTTTCAGTAGAAAATAAACATGTTTAAAGGAGAGAAAAAACTCAGAGAAGCTTCAAAAATGGGGTGAATCTTTATGGAAAAAAAACAAAAAGAAAAAAAACGTAGGTGTCAAGGTTACAGCAGCTGATTTCCTTTTCTCTGCTAAACATTTCATTTGCGTGTTGGAATCTCTGATTGTTATATGATGTCCTGTGCTGCAGGTCTGTACTCTGCAGGATAGAATGCACCAAGATTTTAGTCATTACGATTCAAACCGTATTTGGTCATTATCACCTTCTTTAGCCGAAATTGGCACTGTTTACCTACATCTTTTTCTTTACTTAATTTCTTGACTTAGTTGAATGATTTTGTCACTTGGTGCTCTGTTTATAGTTCCATATGCATAAACACCCAATTGAAATGAAAGGTAAATTCTTTAATACTGTGCTGTGTTTAATTAGTATAAAATAACTTTTTAGCTTGTGTTATTTTACAAGTCTAAGACAGGCATCTCAAATAGCTTTTAAATTAGTTCCCCACACCCAAATGCAAGTGAGAATTGTACTTTTTTCTGCTTGTCATCAACTGCTTCTCCTCAGTCTTAACCATGTTTCACTAACCATGTCCATCTGTTACGTCTTATTAAGAATCTGTACACCCATCAGCTTCACACTTTTAGAGGAGTATGGTACAAAAGCTTCATGGAGAGTATGACTTTATGTTTATGTGAGGTAAAATTTCCCTTCCCAGGTAAGGGCTGTTTTGATGTTTCACTGTGGTTGCAGATTCTGTAGGGAATAATTATGAGTATGAAATCTGACTTCAGAATATAAATTCCTTTACGAAAAAAGTTAATCAGAATATTTTAACATTAAATCTGAAAAAAAAACTAAAAAAAAATAAAGAGGGAGGGTATAGCTCAAATGGTAGAGCACATGCTTAGCATGCACAGGGTCCTGGGTTCAATCCCCAATACTGCTTCTAAAAATAAATAAATAAACAAATAAACCTAATTACCTCCCCCCTCTAAAAAAAAAAACCTATAAAATAAAAAAAAAATCTGCAATGCAACAATTTATTAGATTTATCAGCAGGTCCTTCATATATAAATAAATATATTTTTATCATATATAATAAACGCTATATGGTGGACAGAGAATTTCTAAAGGTTTTTTAAATTAAATATTTAGATTAAAAAAAATTTTTCTTGTTCCTTTGGTCACCTTATCTACCAGATAAATCTGACATCTTAAACTTCTACATAAGTCAATAGATATCAATAATTTTTTCATTTCTATTTTTTCTATTAACTATGGCTTAAAAGCTGTGTCAGGAATCTGCTGTTTACTTTTTTGTCTGCGTATACAGAAGCTTTTGATGGTGATCATGATGGTGGTGATAGATGTTACTGAAGGAACAAGGGTGTTTCCACCAAGCCCCTCCTGACCCTTATGCTAGGTAGGTTGGGCAAAGGTCCCTTCTCTGTGCCCCCGTAATGGTCTACGCGTAGCTGTCAATGCAGTTCTTGCCATTTTATAATTATATGCTTTGAGATCTGTCTCCCCTACTACCAAGCTCCGTGGGGGCAAAAATGTTTCTTACTTATGTTTGTATTTCCAGTACCTGGCAGAGTGCTTAGCCCACAGCATGTTGTAGATACTGTGTAATGTTTATTAAGGAATTGAGAGAAATAACATCGATGGATTGCTGTCTTGAACAAAGCCTGTACCTCTGTGAACCAAGATGGTCAGCCAAAACATACTGCTCTTAACTATCTCTTGTTATTAGTAGGTATTTATTTAATAGAGAATGTCTTCTTTCTCAATTTACCCAGAAAGTTTAACATCCTAAATGTACTCAGATACAGATAGTTTTGTTCAGCAGAGGCAAATACTGATAAGCCTTAACATAAGGATACTTTGTCCTGGTTATTCTAATGACTTCAAGCAAGTTTGTTACCCGTTCTCCATATGTGTGACTCACCAGTTTCTATGAGAGTAACTGACATGCTAGTTATCACCATTTTTTTTAATCTCTTTTTAGAGAAACTCATTAATGGAAGGAAGCAGGGACACATTATTCATAATGCGAAATTACCCATTCAGTTTGGTTCTGAGCTGCGTGTTAACATTTTCGAAAGGTCCGATGTGAAACTTTGTTTTGCATCATTCCTTAACATGACACGTGATCTTTACTATTAGTGATTTTTGGCATTCCAAGTAAAATAAAATGCTCATGCTCTGAAACTGTGACTTGAGTTGCTAGTAAGCTAGTTGCCCAATTCAGTTCCCATTCAATTTTCTCAGTTAACTTTTCTTAGAAACTTATGTTCCTCCCTCAGTGTAATATCACACATTTAATTACTTTTACACTCTAAACTAGATGTTTAGCTAACTCACATTCTCCTTGAGAGAGAAGTAGCAACTTTTTCGATAGGCTTTCCTATTACTCTAGCCTGAAGATGGAAAAGGAAACCTCACTGTCCCTTTTTGTTCTCCAATAGATTTATGCAAATATTTATTGAACATCTATTACTTACAAGTCATTGTTCTTAATGCTGTGGACTACGAATTGAATAAAATGTGATTTTTTTTCCTACTGTGTTGGAATAGATGAGCATATTCATACAGCAATGACAAAGCTTAAAGAGCGAGGCAGGACTTTTCGAATGAGAAGGCATTTGAGCTGGAACTTAGAAGGACTGTTGAAAGGATCTGGTCTCTGACCGGTGCCCTTGGGTAGCATTTGAAGTGCGACTGCCCTCGCTGATAAACTCTCACTTGGGCTGCGTTCTGCCTTTCTGTTTCAGTAAAGTGTTACTGACTTGGTCATCCTCAGAGTGACTTTACATGTATCTACTCTGATCCATTCATATGCTGATTTTATTAATTAGAATATGCTGCCCTTTCTAAAAATCTATTACTCCTTTGTGCTGCCAACTGGGGTGGAAGAGAATTTAGAATGGGGGGAGCTAAGTTTCCGAGGAAGGTAACAGCATGAGCTAAAGTACGAAGTTTTAAAATTATGAGGTTTATATGAAAAACAAAGCAGTTCAGATTTATATGAAAAACAAAGGGAGAGGAAAGGTGGATAGTAGGAGGAGGTGAAATAGGAAGAGACAGCAAGGGCCTAAAGGGGTTAAACCGTATATTGTGGAGGTTCTGTACTAACTAGGCTAAGAAGTAATGCAGGCTTCATTAACGCCATGAACACGGAAGGGCTGTTGAGGATTTTTAAATAGAATGACCTATTCAGAGTTCTGCTTTAGAAAGGTTATATTGGATTTAGGGGATCCCAGAGCCGTGGCGATCACCTTGACAGGTATTCCGGAAACCCAGGTGAATGTCATCAGGACCAATATGGAATAACACCAGCAGAACCCAGTTGGTGGGGGAGTGGAGGATGGTGGGGGAGTGGAGGATGGTGGGGGAGTGGAGGAAAGAGGTGCCAGATGGGAGAAAGTTTGCAGAGAGAAAACGTCAAACCCTGGCATTCTTTTCCGGAAGCATAAGAATAGATGAAAGGTGAAAATGTGTCAGGAAAAGATTTGAAAATCTAGTGTGGGACCTGGATACCTTTTTGCTGTGTATAGAGCATCTTTGATACTTAAACATGACCTGATCTCTTTTAGTTGCCAATTTGTTTGATACCAACTATGTGATCATTTTTGTTCACTTCTTATTTGCCTTTATAATCTTATTTGTTAGATTTTACTATCATTGTGTCCGTTTTTTTCATCCCTCATCCATTGTTTTGGGCCCCTTTTATTTTGCAATTTTAGTCTAATTTGATTTTTCCCCTCTCCATGAACCCTCATGTGTCCTAAGACCGGGCTTCTTAAGCAGAGAACACACTCAACCTGTCACGAAGAAGAACACGGTGTTAGGTTACAGAGATGTCTGGTGGTGATTCATGGTACAGAAAGCTTAGCTGGGCAGCAGAGGAACTAGAAAGCTAAAATAGTGTCTTTTTCTTGAAGGAGCAGCCTTGTCCTTTCTGATGGCTCCTCTGTTTCTTGCTACGCATCTCTTCATCCCTCTTCTCTCTCTCCTGACTGGCTTCCTCTGTCTGCTATTCCTTGTATAATGGCTTAATCCAGTTCGCTGTTTTTACATACTTTTTCAGTTCAGTTCCTCACAACTGACTGGCAGCTTCCTTCCCTGTGTCTCAGTCCTCGTATTTCCCAGGAGAGGGAATCTGATTCACCAACTCCCTCAATCCAAGTCATAACGTCCTTTCTGATCCAGCAGTCTTTCAGCTGCAAGTAATAAAAACCTGACTAAAATTGGCTGGAAAAGGAGGAAATGTATTATCTGCCATAGCAGGAAGTTCAGAGAAAGGGCAGCCCTTAGAGTCGGCTGATGGGAGACTCAGCAGTGTTTTACCAAGCACCCCGAGTTCTTTGCACCCCCTCACCCCACCATCCTTGGCATTGGCTTTATCCTTAGTAAAATGGCCACAGCCATTTCAGGCATCACATTGAGATACAACAACGTTCAGGAAAGGAAGTGGCCGTTTCTTCCTGTGGCCTTTCCTTAGGAGTGAGGACATTTTTCCTAAAGTCTGCTCCGGAAATGAGCAGATTTTCCCTCATGTCTCACTGACCAGATTTGCAGTTAGAGATTTGTTTGGGTTAGTAAACTCCGTTGGTAAGGAAGAGAAGCCACCAGAAAATATCATTTCTACACGCAGCACTAGCGAGCGGAATGTGGTCATCCAGAGACGAACTCAGGCCCATCCCTGGAGCTGGGATGGGAGTCATTCTCCTCCGTGGTAGATGAAGCCTTGTATGCGGAGGGTGGAAAGGAATGGTGGTCTGTTTATGGGACCCAGAAAAGTCCTTCTGTTCAAATGTATCTGTCCATGAAAATTTTGAAAATTACTGTGGGATTTTTACCTGAAGAAAATTGGAGTTCTATCAGGATGAAAGGTTGTTTACTATAATTATCTTTGGGTCAAGTATACGCCCCTTCCCCAGTTAGCTATGGCCTGGAGAGGGAGGTATGGTATATAGAATACAAATGTATATATATAATATAAAACAAAGTCACTTTCCCTAAAGGGCGTGGCAGACAGGCACCTTGAATTGTATCTAGTGTATACCTCTTGGGATCCGTTTTCTGAATTCTTATAGACACAGTCCTTCCTCAGAGATTTTCAGTAATGAAAGCATTGATTTCAGTGCTTCTTATTATTGTCATGAAAAAAAAAAAAACAGTGAGTGTTCAGTCACGTAAAATTTTTGCAAAGTTTGGAATATAATTTAAAGAAAGCTCCTTGTTCGCCGTGAGCATACCATGGAAGAGTCTAGTACCAGTAGAAATATTCTTGCCAAAGCCTAAACCTAATACATTTACGATCCAAGTTGTGTTACCCAATATGATTTTCAGGATTAATTTTTAGTAAGGCGTGTCACACTTTGCATGGCCTGTATCTTGCTGAATTTGTGCATACTAATGAATCTAAAAATATTGAGTATCTACTATGCGACTCTCACTTTGCTTGATACAGTATGCAAGCAAAAGATTCAAAATATAACATATGTTCATTGAAGAACAAGATTATTTATGGATCAAAAGGAAAACCAAAGTAGGTTAGAAACCCAGAAGGCTCTTGTCAAATATATATGCCAATACACATATCTGCACTTTGAGTTTTTTTTTTTTATTAATAAGCTCTGTTGATAAGAAAAGAACCCGCAGAATGTGGAAGAGGGTTGTGGAAAGGAAAAGGGAAGGCCGTCAAAGACAACTGTGTTCTTTTCTTTCTGACTTAGAGCCCTCCTGATGGCCACTCTGAAAATGGCCTTAGGCACTTCCACAGGCCAGTATTTCCTCCAGCATGTTTCACAAAGGCTAGTCCTTGACCTGCTCCTTGAAAAGGATTCATTCTGCAGTCACAAAGAGAGAGGAAATAGCAAATCCTTCTCCAAGAGATTGACGGTGCATATTAGTAATTAAAGATTCTGAGAAGTTCTCTGGTAAAATAACACACATTTCTCTAATCCTGTATTTTCCACATTTTCTGAATCACCAAGTCTCTCTTGTCACATAACATCTAACATCTTGCAGAGTATACTGAGGAACTGCCAAAGTCGGGTAGGAGTGATCCTGAGCAGAGGAGTAACGTTATGAAAGCACCATTTAATAAGAATAATCTAGTGATGTATAAGATGAATTGGAGACAGAAGAGACCAGAGGCTTAAAGTCCTATTTGGAAGCTGTTGGAATAATTGGGGATGAAGAAAGTGTCACAGGTGGGGTAATAATAGTGAATGTTTACTTATTCATTAATTCAGCAAATGTTTATCAAGTCTTAACTGCATGCCAAGTATTGGTCTAGATTCAGGAGATAAGAAAAAATTGTTCAAATCTTTGTCCTCATGGAGTTTATTTATATCCTGAGAGAAGAAGGAACACAGTAAACAAACAGATATGCAAAGTGTCAAGTGACGAAGAGCGCTAAAAAGAAAAATAAAGCATGGGCATTGGTTAGAGGGAGACCTTGCTGATGAGCAGACGCGAAAGCAAAGATCTGAATTAAGCTGGAAAGACAACAGCGCGGACGTCTGGGCAGAGGGACCAGCAATGCGAACACTTTGAGGTAGGAACCCAGTGTGGCTGGAGCAGAGCGAGGTGGAGGATGGTAGGAGGAGGGGAAAAGGAGGCATGGGAAGGGACAGGGAGTGAGTAAGACCATGGAGGCCTAAGAGGCCTGACAGACCATCGTACATACTCTGGGTTTTGTACTGAGTGAGACCGGAAGCCGTCGGAGAGCTCTGAGCAGAGGTGTGGCTTAGTTCTTAAGCGGTCACTCTGACTTCCATCCGGAGAACAGACTGACGTGGAGCTGCAGTGGAGGCGAGGAGCCTGGTTAGGACTGTTGCCAAGGTCCAGACAAGAGAGGATGATGGCTTGCACTCGGGAGGCAGCGCAGGTGGCAGTAAGTGGTCTGCTTAAAGAGAAATTTTAAATTCAAGAATTGACAGGAATTTCGGTCGATGACACCATGTGCCAGGTTCTAAGTGTTTAACTATTTAATCTTCATTAAAAGAACTTGTGAGCTAGGTACAGCTATTACTTCTGTTTTACAGTTGAGAAGGTCGAGGCACAGAAACGTAGCTTGCTGAAGGTCATACAGCTGTAAATGGTGGCACTGGATCTGGAACCCGGGCATTGTAACTCCGAAGCCTGTACTCTGAAACTGTTTTTGAAAGACTTTCAGAATTTCACAGGGGAAATCATGTTTTCTGACTTTTTCTATTTTTGTTTGTTTGTTTTTACCACAGGAAAAGGTTGGGACAGTATGAACTGGTGCTGAGCAGACTGGAGTGTGAGAGAGAGTGAAATAAGATTCCTGGTGTTCTTTGGGGGATTAATTCTGACAGTTCTTTGAAACGTTCCCTCTTCACATGCACCTTCTGTTAGGGAAATGGGATAGCAGTCAGGATATTGTAAGCTGCCTTTCTTCTCCGGCTCCTGGTGGCCTGACTGCTTTGAGTGATTCTGATGCATATAATTGGAAAAGGAGAACTCTTACTCATCATCTTACTCTTATCTTTTCTTTTTTTTTTTCTGTCTTTGGCCTGGGGGATTCAGAGAACTTTCTAGGAGGGAGGAAGAAGTCTTAGGAATTTGCACATTTGAAACTTTTTTTTTTTTTCTGGTTTCTGATCTGGCATCTAAGGAGCTTGGAAGTCATCGCTTCATCCTAACAAAGAGTAAAATGCTGAGCAAACTAAAAAATCAACACAGGGCAAACCACTGCCCCCAAAATTGGAGGGATAGACGGGAAAATGCAGAGAATCACATCTTACCAGAGTTGAATTCCACAAGCCGAGTCCTCGGAAGGAACCAGTACTGGGGTACAAAAACCTAAATAACAAATTGCTGGAAGCTCAATGTGGACAAGTCTGGGTTAAAAACTCCAGGGGGGCCCAGTCATGGGCAGGGTGGGGGGCTTGACACCGCTGTGAGTTTAAGAACTATAGAACACTTCCCTTTCCCCCACATCTCACTACCACACCACTGAAGTTACTTACTGGAGTTCCTTTTACCCAGCACATCATGTCTGGCTTTCAATCAGAAATTACAAAGCATATTAATTAAGGCAAAAAAACCCCCCACAGTTTGAAGAAACAGAACAAGCATCAGACCAGACTCAAATATGACAGGGGTGTTAGGATTATCAAACTGGGGGATTTTAAACAACTATGTTTAATACACTAAAGACTTTAGTGGAAAAAGTGGACAACATGCAAGAACAGTTGAATAATATAAGTAGAAAGATGAAAATTCTGAGAAAGAATCAAAAATAAATGGGAGCAGTCAAAAACACTAACAAAAAGGAAGAATGCCTTTGATGGACTCATTGGTAGACTGGACATGGCTGACGAAAGACTCTTGGAGCTGAAGGATTTGTCAGTAGCAACTTCCAAAACCAATATGCAAAGAGGAAAAAACATCATTTTTAAGTGGAACAGAATATCCAGAAACCATCGGAAATTTTCAAAAGGTGTAACATGTGAGTAATGGGAAAGGTAGAGGAGAAGAGAGAAGGGAATAGAAGCAATATCTGAAGTAGTGATAACTGAAAATTTCTCCCCAAATTAATGTCAGACACCAAACCACAGATCCAGGATGCTCAGAGAACACCGAACAGCATAAATGCATTAAAAAAAAAAAGTCAAAGATAAAGAAAAAATCTTGAAAGGAGCCAACAAGGGGGAAAAAACACCTTACCTACAGAGGAACAAAGTTAAGAATTACATCCAGCTTCTCCTGAGAAACCAAGCAAACAAGAAGTGAGTAGACTAAAATACTTAAAGTGTTGAGAGAAATACTTTTCTCCCATTGCATTGACTCTAACCTAACCAAACAAACCAAGATTAAATTAAATCTGACCCTTCTTCCACAATTCATTGAACACTGTTTCTAAAATATTGGACTTGAGAGAATGGTTGAAACAAGGAAGAAAGGAATAGATCCAAATACTGTAGGAATTTCATAGGATTTGGTGATGAACCAAGGGTGCTGTGAGGCAGATGTAGACCAGGGATGGGATGAAGTGATCTGACTAATGCCAAAGTGGGTTTGACGTATTAGAATCAAGATTTAGCAATGGCAGAGGACCACTTAGTCTACAGTTCTGTTTTCCATGGACTTTGGTTTTCCAACAACTGCTCTCCAGGTTACTAGACCACCCTTAAGGATCAGAACCTTGGAGAGTTCCAGACTGAGCAGGGCAGGAGAAATGTGGCTGCAGCTGTTGCGCTGGCATGTAGTAGACACAATAAAGACTCACAACTGATGCTCTCGTTTGCTTTTCTGTTGGTACGTCTAAGATTTAAAAGACTTTTAACTCTGCCTTCACACAACCTTATGGAAACTTTGATGGGGCTGGAGACTTAAGTCAATCTTGTGGAACAAGCACAAAGCTATCACAGTTGCAGTGGGGTTTCTATTAAATGCTGATATTACAAGAGGGACATGGGGCTTTCAGATACCTGTTCTTTCTCCTAAGGACTCTCCTAAGGTATCGTGTTGCTTCTCTATTTTATTCACTATTATATTATAGTAATAATTATTATGAAGTTATAAAGTTAACCAAAATCCTTTGCAGGATTGGGAGGGTAGATTTGCCTAAAATTTGCTTTCTGGTAGGCACTTATGTTTGTAACTGTAAAAAGATTTTTTAAAAAGAAACTCTGTGTTTTAGAGGTGATTTATAAAAGCTAAAGTAATTCAGGCTATTGCCAGCAAAAACAGAATTTTGCAATATAAATTGCAGGCTGACTTGTCTCCTCTAGTTTCAGTAATCTAGTTTGTTTATTGTTTGTTTTTAAGACACTAAAAAAAAATCCTAACGTTTCTATTTTCATTGTTATCCTTAGTTTTAGGGCATGTTTATGGTTTTCACATCAGATTAATACATTTCTAATGCTTCAATTAAAGCTTCACCTAACTATTTAAAAATCTTTTTTCAAACTAGTCCACATTTATGATGATGCTGTATCTAGCTAAAATTAGGAACTGGAATCTAAATTTCAGAAAACACCTAACTAGTAACTCCTGGCGGTAATAATGGCAAAGGGCAGAAAATCTTATAAAATAGAGCTTATTGCAGAGAATAACCATGACATATTTATCTTCTCTTACAGTTCTAAGATGCATTCATTATCTTTTTATACTGCCTGAGAGAACAGGAGAGTTAGAACAAATTCCTGACTAGCTAACTGATTTGCAGTGCCAAAAATAAGTAGTCTCTGAAAGATGTGTGATGAGAAGGAGGTCTCCAGGATTACATGAGCATTCTGATCCAATTTTGGAGATTAAAAATAAAAATTAGATTTAGTTATGGATAAAAATAATAAGTATTAAGGAGAAAGATAACAAGATTGTACCAGAAGTGTGTGTCTCCTTCAGGAGGCATTTTTTAAACTATTTCTTAATGGCTGTTGTTGTTTATCTTAATTAGAGAGTATTTTTAATACTCTTTATGCAGTAGATCCAGTCTGTGTTTGTGAACTGAGTCTGGACTGAGACTTAAATTTGTGATTCACACCACGTGCATCAGAACGTCAAGAGGCTAACTGCAGGAAGGTTTTCAGGTGGGCTGAGAAGAGGAGGGGAATTGTGTCCTGAGTGTGAATTTACAGCTGTGAAATTACAAGAAAAATCTACAGAACATGACGGAGTGAAGGAGTGCCAGCTGTCAAGGACGACTATGAGGAAAATACTGGTGCCCGTGGTAGGAATGAGGAAGTTACAGAGGAAGCCAGTAGGTAATGTGTTCCATGCAGAACACATTGGGTATGATGGGCTGGGATGATATCCAGTATATTTACTAGATAGTTGGAAATTTTATTCATTTAACAAATGTTTATTGCGCCCTAGAGATGTCTGTACATTTGGTGACGTTGAGAGTTACAGGTTTCGTTCTTACTCCTATAAGCCCACTAACGTGGTCCCCAGCTGGATTTTCTTAAGGAAATATTTTAACCGAATTATGCAAGGTGTAATAATTGCTTTTTTTTTTTACCACCTCTGTGTTGCATCCTACCGTAATCACAAATTGATGGTTTCCAAACTCAGAGACTGTTTTCACTCTTATTTTAAAAAATAATCATTCACCATGTGAATGTCCTAGAAGACACTGAACTGTGTGATTTGAATGGGTGAACTGCATGGTTGTGCTAGTTAAATCTCAGTAAAGCTGTTAAAAAATTATTCTTCACTGCTCACATTTCCAGGTAGTTGTTTGAGATCACCGGGGAAAGACCTTAGCCCTGAATCAGTGGTAGAACTTATGACATACAAATAAGTTACATTGAAGCTGAGGGAAAGAGAGAGTAGATGCCAGTTCATTTTTTGAATGAAGTTTCAAGCTAGTTTTTAGAGTAGAGAATATGTAGATAGTTTGCCTTTAATCTGGCAAACAGACATTGAACACTGGTCCTAGCCAGCCAGAGTCAGGAAATGCTTCCTAATGGAGGTTCTGATTTGAACCTTGAAGGATGGATAGGAATCAGCCCAGTGATGAGGGTAGAGAGATTCAGAGGTGACACCCTGTGCAAGAGTGAATAAATGTGGGGAACTGCGCTCAGTTTGGAATTACTAAAGGAGGGGGAGCAATGGTGAGAGAGAGAGAGAGAGAGAAATCCTTCCATGTAAATACATAAAGATGCATCACATTTTTTAACATCTTCATAGTATTCTGCAGTATGATTATATGCCATTAATTATTTAACCATTCCTCTGTTAATGAATGTTTAGGTTGTTGCTTGGTTTTGGCCATTTCAAATAATGTTGCACTGAGCATACTTACACATGTGTCTATACAAACTTGTGAACATAATTCTGGGTCAGAGATGAGGCCTTGGTTTTGAGAGCATTGACAGTTTTGAGTATACAGCTTAGGGCTAAGCGATGACCAGTCATACTTCATTATATCGCATAATTTTTGAGTCAGCTATTTTTTTACTAAATCAAAGATGTATTCCACTTCTGGTCATTTAGGATCATGTTTGGCCATGGTCAGCACTTTGGCTTTTACTGTGAGTAAGCCGTTGTTGGATTTTAGGCAGAGAACTGACATGATATATCAAAAAATATTTCTAAAGATCACTCTGTCAAGAATAGAAGACAGGGAGTCAAGGACAGAAGTAGGAAAACCAGGTAAGAAGCTACTGAAGTAGTCCAGGCAAGGGGCAGTGGCGGCTTGGACTAGAGGAGAAATGATGGAGATAAAGAAACATGGTAGGATTTTAGACATACATTAAAGTTGGAGTTGACAGGATTTGCTAATGGAGTGTATGTGGAGAGAGAAGAGGGTCTTAAGATTAACTCTAAGATGAGCGTTCTAGGCCTGTTCCTGAGTTGAGAAGACTGGGAAAGGTGTAGGCTTAGGAGAAATGACCCATATGGGATGCATATTTACTTTTCCATGTGGAGTTGGTGAGTCGGCAGTTAGTAGTGAGGCTAGAGATCAGGGTGCCCTGTATTTTGTTAGTGAAGGAATGAATCGTTGATAGGTAAATCAGGAAGGAAATATGTAAACAAAATTTGAAAGGAACAAGAATTACAGCTAACTCTTTTATTATGACTCGCATAACGTGGTCCTTTTCTCTCTGCTTCCAGGTAGGACTGGAATAGAATTAAACTGGTAGGAGTTTGGAGAGGTGGGAGGGGGAGAGCACATTTGTATATGTACATTTATTTCTCTCAGAATCTCCCTGCCTCTAGGATGTGGCAGTCCTCAGAAGAATAGTTGCTGTGAATAATTCTGTTTTGAGATACCCTATCTTTATGGAATTGCTATGTTTCATCAAAATGATTATAAAGAAAACCTCTTCTCATTTTGACTTGCGTATAAAATTAGAAATGTATTTCCACAAAAATCCCTAATAAGCTGAGTTGGAAAACTTCTTAGTAGACCAGCAGTTAAGATATTAATTATTTTCTGGTATTCCGGCTTTGGTGATTTACCCAGCCATGATGACTTTCCGGTCATTAGACCTCAGCTTTGGTTTGCCTTTTGAATGTATCATTTCCTTACCCTACCATCCTCTCTGATCTTGACTATCCCTTTCTTACTGACTATAGACAACATTTCCAAAGCCTACTTCATGTTCTCAGTTCCCAAAGCATCTTTTCTACCTTTTATGTGTAAGTTATGGGGGTGCCCATATTTGATAAAGCTTCATTCCATTCATGGCACAAACTACAACCTGATTATAGTAGTTCAAAAGGCTGTGAATTAAGTCTTTGTCATTTATCTGCATGATGAAATTTTCTTTAGGAAACATAAAGCCAGAAACCCACTGCATGTGAATGATAAATCCATGCTGGCACTGATTGCTCAATCCTGTAGATGTCAAAGGATCAAATCCAAGGTCACGGACAGATCTCACTGGCTTTTTCCATTTGTTTGGTTAATAGACATCCTTATTTATACAAAAGCTTAATGGTTCACAAGTATTTGAATAGTACATAAGGTATTCTGTTTGAACTGTTGGTAATACTAGCACATGATGGACTTTAAAAACAGTGCAAGCTCAGAATATCCCCCCAAGGCTTTTTAGCTTTCAGCTCCTCTTAGAGGTACACATCTGTAAAAGCCTCTTGTATTATGGGATGTGTTACATTCCAATGGAATATTCTTTGAGTTATACCTAGAATGTTGAGTGACCCTTAGAGTGGCAG